TGTGTGATAGCTGCGCCTATCCTAGCCGCGCCTATCCTAGCCGTTCAATCTAGAAAATCAACATTTGTCTCATATGCCTATTCCTTACATGATTTATGGATTTACTATGTTTGATAAAGCGCATGTTATCTGGGACGAATGGTTAATTTTCATATATATTTATTTGTAATTGAGGTAAATTATATGGCCTTCCAAATACCGTTTCGTTTCCTAAATCCTGATATGGTGTACCAATTTTTGCACCTCACGTTTGCGGTATACCATCTTTTCCGCAAGTTTATTGTTTTCTAATAATTAAGATCCATGTTGTTACATCTGGTGATCCGTTTATTTGGTAATCGCCATGGCAGTCAGCAGGGTTTAAGAACATCCGTTGTTCGACCTGCTAGTCAAATGCGTTTTGTTAAAATATACCTTTTCACTTTTTTGGTCTTTTGGAAAATGTTGTTTGTGCTGTAATTAGACCCCTCTACCAAGAATTTTTTTTGCATGCACACGTATAAAAATTGCGGTTTTTATCCAACGCAATCATAGGTTTGAATGTTATTTTCAATTTAGACTTGTTTATATTTTTTCGTTTGGGCTTGTATTATGTTGGCCTTCGGATTAATATAATCTGCAGTAAGCACCAAGAGTCGATGCTTAAAGGGAAGTCCCTACTTGTACTTAATGCAGATGAGTCAAACTCCTAAATTATTAAAAAAAATAATTTTAAATATACTTTTAAGATTATAGATTCTGTGTCTAGCCAGCAAAGATCATCCAGGGACGGTGCCAGAGAATACGAATATAATTTTATCGGTTCGATCATTTTGTTTTGAGATATTATGGTCAATGCGATCATCCGAATATCCTTTCCATGAACGAATATAAAACATTGTCCATAACGATTATGTTGTAAATAATAATAAAAACGTATGCTTTACACTTGTTTCAAGATAAATTATAATGATACGATAAACCATACTCTTTCCCTCAAGATTATAATTACAAATATGCTTTTAATGGTGTAATGTTAACGATTTTATAGCTTTTTTATGTCCATTTAGGTTTTAAACAAGCAATAAAATTAAAATTCTATTATGCCACAGGCAGAACACTAAGCATGCATGCAGATAAAAAGATATCGAGTACAAACATTATGGTAGAGGGTTCCTAAAAGACAAAATTATGGCATCAATTCTAAATAAGAAAATCGGTAGTGATATTTGAAGACGTATCTAGGCAAACATTGCTATGAAAACTTACGTAATTAAAACTTTTTGTAATTTTGAAACCTTTTGATTTGTTTACTGTGTAAATATTTGATAGTTGGTAATTGTGTTTATTTGTTTGTTATTTTTCTTACGTTGTCACGATTGTTTGTAAATGAGAGGATATTACATGTAAACATTGCAGAGAAAGCAAAGTTTGTCCACTAAGATCTGTATACTTTTCTTTTCCGTTATCTTTGAAATAACTAATAAAGAAAGGATTAACACTATATAACAGAAAATCCTTTGTTTTGAATTCACTTTGTTTGTCAACAAATTTTCCGAAAGCAGAATCAACAATGATAAATTCTTGTAATTTGTAATGTTTGAATTCTTCCAAAATGTGGCTTCTGTTTAATTTCACACACACATGCATGTTAAGCTACATTGTTAATAGAAAAACAAAGGATATGGGGTATCCATCTATGACACAAAATCAGTACATGCACAGAAAATAATACACAAAAAGCAAAGGGGCAGAAAATTTAAAATTCAAAAGACAGGGGAGAAAGTAGCGAAATTCCCTTTCAGTGTCAGACTAAGTATGAGTTATAATGGTATTAAGTTTTTACCCATGTGAAAATGTGTCTATCATTCACATCAACTTATTCGAAGGACCACTGACCACAAACTTAATATGATGCCCAAATGTTTTAATATTCATTGATTATGCGATATATGTTGTATAGAACATTGGTCAGTTTGAATGATCAACCTTAGATTTTGGATGATATATCAATTTCGAGTCTTTTGAATTGTGATATCAATCAATCAATTAAATACGGACCAAGAAAGAAAAGGTGAAAGGTCATGTAACAACTCTTAATTTTTGGATAAAATATATAAGACAGTCAGAAGACAGACAGAAGACAGACACTATTGTTTATAAATATTGCCTACTGTTATAATATATTCAATCTATTCAAACTTTCAATGTTTAGCATACGATATTCTGAGAAATATTTCTCGGTAAGCAAGACTGGTCAAATGAGATCACATCTTCACACAATATCGAAGGGTCAATGTAGTTGTCAAACTAGTTGTTTAGGTTAAATTATGAATTGATCATGAAGAAAAATACAAATCCAGAAATTATTTATCAGTTCATCTTGATCTTGTTTCGCGTGTCAGATTTCAACTTTGACACAAAATGGCCTCTAAACTTGTATTGTTCCTGCTCAATACACACTTAGTGATCGGTCAGGTCTTCGGGTCACAAAAAGGACTGGTGCCAGTCAAATAGTTTTATCTTGCACAGGAATGTGTACATATGTTTTATCATACAGTAGCGGATATCAATTTTTGGCATAAAAAAAATGTTTTAAAAATAGTCTCACTACGCTAGGCGAAATTATTAGGTATACACCATGTACTTCAAATCCTTTGACTACGTCTGTTATATATACATTATATGGAATTTATATCACATTATTGCCAATCGTTATTTTTACCATGGTACAAATCCTAGTTAATGATAGGCAACTCCACAAACAACAAGAAAACAGCATTGTTTAATTCATACCAAAAACATAGTATCTTTTTATCACTGTTAGCTTTTATGTGACATTAGGGTCGATCGATCGATTGAGAGAGAGAGAGAGAGAGAGGGGAGCAAACTGTCGGAGGTTTAAAGAATTTTCTTCGTATTATTTTTTTGTAATTTCCAGAAGAAGACCAACAGACTGCTTAAACCACTTAAGTGTCAACTTTAAAACTTTTATTTAAAATGTTGGACAGCATCCGTATGTGTCAAGAAATGTTAATATTTCCATCATATTTTAGTTTCGGGAGTAAAGTTTCCGGTTTTGGTTTCGGTTTATGAAAACAATAGATAACAATACTTATTTACTTTCCACTTTCCATTTGTTTACCTCTTTTCCATACTGTTTGTATTTGGCTGATAATAATTCTAAGTAAAATCTAAGGCGATTGTTTTGGTATTTCTATTAGTGACATTTTGGGCTTAAGGTAGATGATTTGTAATGGCTACCTGGTGATTAACGGAATGACAGCTTAAAAATAATTCTACCAAATAATATAGGTTTCCCAAGATTTGTTTCAATCTGTGCATCCTGTTGTAGAACCCCTTATCGCTTACAAAGTTATAGAAGCTCACTAGCGAGAAATTAAATTTTATAAAAAAACTCCATCTGCGTAAAAAAAAATCGCCTTTTTATACGTAAGTTGTTTTGCATTTTTATGCAGAATTATCAGTGTATATTTATGGGTCTTTGTTTCTTGAAATGGTATTTGTTCTCTGGTGTGAGAATAGCAGTTAAAAAGATGTTTGACACATAAAAAGATTTTGAATTTTTTTTTGTACGATATGAATAAACACTTTTTGTCAACTTAAATCGTTTTAACTTAGCAGTGATTGCTATACATAGCATGTCGGGTTTGGTTTTTAATGGTGGATTCAAGTGTGCACAGCTTGCGCGCACCCCTAAGATCGGAATATATATATCTATTTTGGCATCAAAAATGTACAAAAATACCGATCCGCTTGGTGATATTCTACAGGTTGCGTTACCGCTAACCTATCCGCACTGATCGATTGATGTCTATCCTACATTGATATTGATACAGAATGTCATTGAAATTTCTTAAAATAAAAACTGTGTTTCACCTTGGACTTATATACTGACTATTCTATTGTTTCATATAATTGAATATTTTGCTCAAACAAATTTAAGGTGCAAGAAGTTGTTGGTATTTTTTCTTCTATTTTCTCCTTATCAGATAAAACGATAATCTAAATATACTACTGGTTCTAATTCTGACACCAGTGAGCTCTATTTCAATTAAAATGCATAATATTTAATTTAGATTTGTTTAGATACGTTTGTATTTAATAATCCTTTCTATGTCAAATCATTTAGATAATAAAATGACACAAAATGCCTTAAGTCTTACAAATGACTATGTCCAGTATAGTTTAATAAGCGTGCCAGAGTCGCTCGCTTTCGCTCGTTTGCCTTCGGGGTACACTCGATTTCACCTGCTCGCAATTGACTTTCGATCGATACATGATAATATCTGAAAGCATTGTTAAAACCATTAAAACCTGATTTTTATCGTTAATGGCTTTATGGGATAATTTTATTATCAGTTTTGCAAATCAAAATTATCAAAGAATTTCTAGGAAGTTCATTTGTGAAACTTTTGTTGAGGTGAAAGGACATATTTTCTGCTCAAATGTAAAACGGCTATCAACAAAATTTAATTAAATTCAGCTTCGTATGGGGAATACGGAGTCTGCTGGAAAATAATATAAACAGTATAACTACCTGTTTAGGTAAGCACAATTAAATATGTATTTAAAAAATATATACATTACTGTGGCATTAGTATTGCAATTTATTCTTTAATTCGATTATGTTTTTGTTTCAACTTTATGTTTTTTTAATTTTGAAGAAATTTACTATAAAAAGTCTTCAAATTAACTATATCAATCAATAAACATTAAACCCGTCTCTAAAACTCCCTGGACTTTTGAAAGTATTTAATTCAAATTTCTTTTCAATTTTCCCCATAAAATTTGTCACAATCTAAACTTCTTTATTATTTATTCTGGATATTGAAGAGGTCACTGTTGTATTGATTGCCTCTATGATAGCACATTAAAGGGACGCGAGTATTCACGTGCTCAAAAGAATCATCAATATCGCTGTCAATCCGATAACGGGCAAAATAACGCCCACCGTCAGTTGTAAAATCGGAGTCGTACAGGGATAAACCAGAAACTATTTAGTGACAATTTTCTCACGTGTTTTTGTTTTGCATTAAGTGATTTATATTTAAGCGGATTAGACCATAAACTAACTAAAATAAGATATACAGAAAATAATGGAAACATTTCTGTGTCTCCTTCCGAAACATTGTCTGGATAAACTACAAGTTGTTCGGTGATTTATTCTGAAAGTATTGAGTGAAAATATTTATTTATATTTATTTACTGACTTAAAAGTTTGTGGTAATGACATATTCTTAGAAAATGTTATCAGCGGAGAAAGGTTAGTATTTTTTTTTATCTATTTATTAACATGTTTTACTCCTCAAAGATAGAGTTAAACCCTAGGAACAGTTTCAGTACCTTTTACCAGATTATACACATATATCTGTTCGTTTAAGTCTCTTTTTCTTTTCATTTACTAAACCTTATTATTACCATTTTTATTCATTATAAAAAAGATATGTAAAAAAAATTCAAAAGGTATCAACTTCTCAAAAAGTAAACAACTGTTAGGTTTAATATGAAGTGGTAAACATCAGGTGGAATGAATTACTTAAACATCTGCATAAAACGGTTAGAAAAAAAAGCGAAACTAATCAAACTGCAAAGAAAATTTATAAAGGTTAAAAGGTTGTAACCAAATTAAAAGTTCGCTACACAATTTTGAGAACAGTTTAGTATAAAGGAGTTATAGTTATATTTGATCGATTATATTCGGTAACATGAACACACCGTAACATGTGTTGTATGGTTGAATAAATTTAAAAGCTGATGAAAAATTTACATCATTTGAGTGCAAGACAAAAAGCTAACTTTTGGTCACAGATGTTGTGGAACTTACACAGGGTTTATATTTTAGTTTTGAAAGGATTAATAAATTATAATATTCAGTAAGTTCAGCGTAAATGATTATGGATTTTAATCATAAGTTTTTTGGGGGATAAACTAACAAATTACACACACACACTTTCCCCTAAGGGAGGTTTCTATCGTGTTCGTTGTAGACAGAGTCCAGACACTTCTAGCTGAGAATATCGTTTGTACGTTTACCGATAGCATTGATTTTTATTACCTGAACACTATGAATGGTAATAAAATGACCAGAAGAAACGTTATATCGCTACGGACAATACAGATAGTGTGTGTCCACTAATAATAACATCACATTTTCCACCTGACTTTTGCCTGAAAACCCCAGAAAATCCTAATAAAAACGGCCTATTAATTAAAGATATTATGCATTATTCTCTTTCTTTAATTTTCTTTCTCTTTTGAATCTGTTCTTTTTCTTAAGACTTCCATTTTAAAATGTACGTCGATCCTGAATCAGTTGTCAACAATATAATTTAGAGAAAACATGAACAGAAACTTGGCGAAGATTGAAAATTTAAAACTGTACGTTTGAATTGACACGAAAAAAATTCTTATTTTAAACTTTTGCAAAAAGTGTGCCACTCCTGATCTCATTTAGAATCACAATATCGACAAGAATAATAATAATAAAATATTTGTTTCTTCTTTCCTCCTTTGTTATTAGTTTTCATACATTCATTTGATGATAAAAAGCCTGTCGGATTTTACCCACTATGTTTTAAGATTCGGCGTTTATCAAAGAGTTGTGTTTAGTGTTGTTCTGCATTTTTATTACAAATAGCAAATGAAAGAAATCCATATTAAAGGGTAAACTCAAACGAGATTAAGGATTTGATCTCTCTGAATAATTTACATTTATTCGGGTCAAATTAAGCAAAAGGCGAACACGACCCAAAATGCTTCACGTAAATATTTATTAATCTTAAAAGGGATTTGAATAGCAACGAAAAAATCACGAAGTACCTAGAATTTTACATGTCCATGGATTGCAGTAACAAATCGTGTGTATAAACTGCACTTTATATCTTGGAAGTTTTTTTTCTTTTTCGGAAAGTAATTAGCTATCCGATATCGATTCTAGTATCTATTCATTTCCGCCAGAGGGGTGCACTTGATTGATAAGTGTGAACATTTACACCTTAAATATCCTTTGATCTTTTATAATCAAACAGGAGTAGAACATGCAGTCTTGTTTTAATTGAAAAAAAGGAAGTTATACTCCTAAACTGTATACACAGTGTTGTCATTTTCTTAGTGTCTGTTTATATAAAAGTCGAAATAATGTAATCTTGCACACTGTTGCACACACTAGTATGGGTGGTGTTATAACATAAACGGTACCAACAATATTCCGGCTTGTAAAATGTCACTTTTTATTCCTGAACACAAGCTCATATTTGTTCATTTTCTTATGCATAATGCAATGGTCAATGAACCTTCTGCAATTTCTCACGAAGTCCTCTTAATAAAACCACGGTCTGTATAAAAAAGTATGTGTGTGAAATTTTTGCACCCAAAATGTAATAGTATCATTTTTGATTAGAGAACCTATGCATATTTTTTCCATCAGAATGGTTAAATCAAATGCAGTATGAGTCAAAAATGCATGGCATCCCTAAAGTGGTAAAATGATATTTTTTCAAATGGTTTGGACCACTAGTTCCTGTGAATGAGTATTAATGTACTTGTCTGTCAATGCTTGACCTCGCCTGTATTTCAACCCAATAGGTATACATGTTTTTCTAAATTTTTTCGAGATCAACTATTCCAATTTGTTGCAAAACAATTTATTCAGCCTTCTGAATGAATACCCTTGAAATGTATGTATGTTATTATGAAAGCATTAAAATTAACACCCTTGACCATACACTTCTGTTCACTCCTTAAGACCTCACAGTCACCATTCATATTCTTTAATTATATACTTCAGACACTTATCACAAATTCACCAGATTTCATGCTCAATAATTCTAAATTTATTTCTGATTTGCAGGCAAATGATTGCACTTTGTACTTTATTAAATACCAATATCAATTTCAATTGAAGTTTAAACAGTTGGGCCATTAATTTCATTTCTGACATTTCAACCCAATCCTTTCATTAGTAAATACCATACTTCTTGAAAAATGACCCCATGTAAGTGAACGTTCCTTGAAGTTGAAAGTTCATTAATCAATTTTAGAAATCAAACTAATTATTAGAGTACATGTGCTTAAGGCAAATAAACAAAATGTTTCCTGCTTCATTTTAAAAACTGACAAATCTATCCATAATTTTTATGGTAATAAATGAGCAAACATACTGAAAAAACCCCATTAGAAGTGTACATTTCTTTCAGCAATACTAACATTGACTCTCTTGATACATTTTTAAAATACTAAAGCAGTCTCAGTAACATACATTCCCCATTAAATCTGCTCAGATAAATTAGAATATATTCAATAGGGCTTATTATAGGGTTCTATAAGCAGCCACATCAGGAAATCACTTCTCACTCAGAATCCAAAAAAGGATTACTAAAGTGCATGTACCAATTGTTTTCAATAAAGACAAAATCAAAAATTTTAATTTGCTAGAAAGTGTTTTAGGTTTTGGATAAAAAGCAATTTATATCTGTCTTATGAAACTTGTCCTGGATTTTTTATTTTTACAATTACATTATTTATTACTTATATTTTTTGATGTTTAATTTTCTATTTTTAGATGTGGGTCATATATATAGAACCAGCATACGTAAGAAAATGGATCATGTTTATGAGGAAATTATTGCAGGGTCCTGCAAAAAGATGAAATTTGTTCGCCACACCAAAGACAATGATGAAACCAAGCCAACTCCATGCAAACGTAATAAGAACATGGTGTTTACCCCATGTATGGATGCTTCTAATTGTCATGCAGTTGGTGGAACCACAACACCTAAGATGCCGTTTACATCAACCTCTGTCCTCAATAACAGAATCAGTTTAAGGAATGACGACACATACCTCTGTCCTGCTCCTAGTACCACAGTGAAACATTTGAAAGCTCAGGGTATGAAAAATAAAATATATTTAATCGCTTATTATATTATGTGCCAAAGATTACATTTTACAGAGAAATTTCTAAAAAAAACTCTTGATTATAAATCATGTTATCATGTTCATTGATTAATTTTTTACATAAATCTAAATGAAAAAAAATTATCCTTGAAAAATCAGTTAAAAGTCTAGACTAAAAACAATAAATTGTCTAAACTTCTGGGCATATGGTGACAAGCCTAAACTGAGAATTACACCATGTAGACAATCCCCTGCAGTTTAGATATATGTTATGATGGACATAGCAATAGGAAATGATAGCCTCATCCATGACAATCTCACCTGTGCACCTGACACAGATATGAAGTAGGGTCAATATCAATTTTCTACCTATATGTCAAGACTGATTGATCTTTGTTAAATTTAATTTATGTCCCAATGTTAAATGTGTCATTTGTATGCAAAATTTATTTACAACCAAAACATGTAAACATTTAATTTGACAAGGATAAATGTGTAAACAATGCGATACATGTATAAGGCAGTAAATCAACCTCATTTAATTCAGACTCAGGGTCAACAATATGTTAATATTACAAATTGAACATTTTGTGAGAATCTACTGATATTTAATATTGTGGGATAATTTTAGGTCTCTTAACTTCAGTATTTGTTAACACTTTATCATTTTGAAATGTTAATACTTCATTAGCATGCTGAAATTAATAATATTTTATGAGAGAATTTAGAGGAAGTGGTTTCAATTCAAAATTTGCCTTTAGCATTTTAAGAGAATTGTTCTCAACAATTCTGAAAGGTTTAAAATTCAAGAAACAATGAAAATCTTTTTTGTATCTGGAAGGAATCTCTGTTTTTGTTTCAGGTTTATTATAAAGAGTGAGATTTTTTATCATGTACCTTAAATTTGATAAAATATAGCAATAAATTCAGTACACCATTGTTAATAATTGAAAGAATTGTATGATGTATTATATGTCTTGATTATATTAATGTCATTTTTAGCCGATCTTAATTTAATTGAGGGTAGCTTCAGTTTTAATAATTGAAGTACATGGAACAAGTCATCTTTATATTTTTTCTTATTACTGCACTCAATTTATTATGATTCATATATACCTTATACAATTATGTAATATTATTTTACCACATGATAAATTGTTGAGGTTTTATAACATTTGTAAATCATTTATGATTTTAGAGGCTTTATTGGGAAATAATACAAATACTACTGTGAAAATAAAAGTTTACATAAAAACTTTATTACATAATTGTAGCTCCTGTTGTTAAAATCCATTAAATCATAAAACTCGAAAAATATTTTATATTATAGAACTGCTGTGAGATTCTATAAATGAGGAAATTAAGTTATGTAATAAACTTCAGTAAATAGTAAATTTCTTAAAATCCATTAATTCTAATCACAAATGATAATAAATGGATAATAATTTTATTGGGGGCTATTTGTAAATCCTAATATAGCACAGCAGTATTAACCACCATTTAATATAACCAGCTGAGTAATAGTAGAGTGCTGGCCTGCCATTAGCATATTCCTGGCCTTTTTTATTGGCACAAGACAAATCTCATTTTATACAATTAAAGACTATATGGTTGCCAATTAAATTAAACTGAAATGCAACTGTGAAATCAACATCCTGCTGTTAATTTTATTCTCTCACAAATTGAGACAAATTTAGGATGGGAATCTGCTTAAAATGTTGAAATAGTCATTGAAATCCCCAATGATTATGCAATTAAACAAGGTTCTAACTTGTTTATGAGTATTCTGAGTGGCAGCCATGAAGCTTCTGTGATGTATCACTGAAAGAAGGAATCAATTGTTGGTCTAATTGGTCTGTATTTGCCTTCCTGGTTAGAGATTTCAATAGATCCCCTGTGGTTACTAAATTGTTTGTACATGAAACACTTGGAACCATGATTTCTATCTTGTTAATTTAGTGATTGGCAGGTCTTCGTGTTTCTAGCAATGGTAATTCTTTTACCAGACCACACCACAGACTTGCTATCTGAACTTCTATATTGACTCTGGGATGTTTTATAAAAAAAAACATTTAATCCAGACCAGTTTTTCATTCTTTTATTCCCATATTGAATGCTTAAAGACAAATGTCACAATAATTATACATCTAATTTTGAAGACCATTTTTAGCATGTTTAGTACATTATCATGTCCCTTTAGAACAAAATAATAATTAATATTAGTGTTATAACCTTTGTTCTTCCAATTACAACAACAATGCATTACCAAAATAGACATTATAGAGGTCCTCATACAGACAACAACATAAGTCATTAAATATCAAACCAGAAAAAAAAATATATCGGGACTACATTTAGTCATTCAGGAAATTTAGATTAAAACTATTGATATGGCATTAATTCTCCTTGGAAGCATATCAGTGCCTAGATCAATTTTTATGTCTTCTTCAAAGAAAGGTAACAAAATAGTAAAAGTATTTCAAAATACTGATAAATGTATATATTATACATGAGAGAAGAGGCATCATCTTATTTCAATATAAAAATTACTGTTCCCATTTACTCTCAGTAACATTTTTTATCCAGATTAATTATCAAAACTCAATTTACTTTAACGGTGAATGTCCAAACATAAACTTTTGGAGGTGTAAATTTATAAGAAAATATTTTAAAAGTATTTGTAATAAGAACATTATATTGTTCGTAAAATTTAAGAGTATTATTTCCAAATGTATCAATTATTTACAATATTTTTTATCCCTACTCAATGTAACAAGAAATTACATATTAATGCCAAAGTTGACATTTATTGCAGAAATTATTTCTAGAAACTAAAGCTCAGACAAATGTCTATAGTTTGCAATATACAAGTGCTACCTGAAATTAAATTTAACACCATAAATGTGTCTTTAAATAAACATACTTCAAGTTTTCTCACCTTTTCTATAAAATAGCCTGTCAATTATTTATTAATGAAGAATAAGATTCTATTATTAGTTGTTTATTTGGGAGGAAATTATTGTCAAAACAAAGTGTCAGTATCAAGCTAACTGTAAAGTACTTGATAATTTTAACACCTATGGCTACCTGTTGTATATTTCTTAAGACATGTTTGTATATTCAAGACCCTACACCCACTTCACCTTAATCAGGTAATAATGTGTCAGGTAGATTATCTTTCACATTGACCAATCAGAAGCCTGGATTAATCAGGTAGCACCTAATTGATAAAAATAATATGATGTTGAATTAATTTATTGAATTATTAAGAAAAAAATACTTGCTGCATCAACATCCTTACTTCTGAATATTTACTGTGTTATGTGTTTGGATTTTCATCATGGTTATTAGTTCATCTGTTCCAACTTTCGTTAGAGGTGAGACAAAACATAGTTAAATATGAAGAGATGTTAACAAACCTGTAATTGATTATATTTTTTTATTATCATTTAACAGAAAAATAATATTAATGATGTATTATATGTCTCTGAAGTTATAAAGTGCATTAAAAAGTCTTATTATTGTTAAACTTTTCTTAAATAGTAATTTTTAAACTCTTCTAAGATAGTAATTTTTAAACTCTTCTAAGATAGTAATTTTTGAACTTTTCTAATGCTTCTTTTAAACTTTCTACAAAATATTTTGTAATATTCTTACAGTATTTATTAGGACTATGAACAAACAAAAATCATATCCACTGTTTTTGACATATTTTTGTATTGCATAATCTTATTTTACACTTTTTATTTTGATTCTATTTGCACTTTAGTGATTTAAAATGTTATCAACTTCAAATTTGTGGACAATATTTTTAAGAATCCTTCAATTTTTAAAAATAGACAATGAAGCTAAGAGTTGAATTCAGACTAGGACCCATAGATCATTTATAAGTCCCAGATTCAGATTATTAATTTGTATATAAATTGATTTATATATTTTTATTTTTTTTGATTTTCAGGTCAGCTGAAGTTGTCAGCTTCTATCAGCCAAGGTGTTCTTCAAGTTAATGGTAAGCTTCATATATATAGTTTTTATTTTTTATATCTTCTTGCTTCAATATTGTACACCATTTAATGTAGATATGAGCAGAAATCTCAGGATACCTCCAACTGTTAGGAGACTTAATTAATTAATAATAATTATGATTTGTAAATATTAATTATATTTTGTCACCTTAATTCAATAAATAAAATGAGATCTAAGTGTCAAACAAGTCATGTATATAAGTAATGTTCAGAGAAATGACAACTATAACTTAGTATGAAGAGCATGGAATAGTAAGTCAAATTGTTAGTAATTTCAAATTGTTTCAAGTGTACATTCAGAATATATAAGTACAGTTTAGATTTTTTATTATTGGAAAATTCTTTTCTTAACAAAAGCTCTTTTTCTGAAACCTTTAATCTCACTGTTAGGTTGAAACCATTTGATTGTTTCCTTAACAAAATACTCAAAATATGATATATTAAATTTTCATTTTGAAAAGATATTTCAATGCAATACAAGTTCCTTGCAAATTTGTAATCTAAACCTTCAAGAGAATGGAAATACTCACTTTTCATTCAAACTTTAAAAGCTTGAGTTTGTTTTTTAAAAAATGTAAACAAACTTTCTTTTAAACATTTCAGAAACTTTTTAAATGTAGGAGCAAAACTGCTCAACAATTGATCATTACAGTCTTTTATGCTGCTTTGTAATTTTTTATCAAGGCAGCACAAAGATACATCTTATATTGTTTATCAATGTTTTATCTAATCAATTTTTTTATTAAATTGTAGTTATACAAGGTCGCCAATTGTCTACCAGACAGAAGACAACTTCAATCACCTTTGTAAAGGTATGGTATCTATTTGTTCAAAAACTTTATAATCAGAAAATTCTTTAAATATAAATCCAAGTTAGACAACTCATCATAGAAATTCTTTCAGAGGGAATATGAAACCATATGCAGTTTGATTTCAGTAAACTTTGATTTTCATACATAATCCTTCACTAGACTATTTTCTTGTTCTCTTCCAAAAATTCTAAACATACAAAAGATTAAAGGATATTTTGAAGATTTTTTTAATTGATTGAATGATTGATTGTTGCTTATTTAATGTCCAGTAGCAAATATATTAATTTGAAGATTTCACTCGGCTAATTTAAAGTGATAACTATCAATGAAATTTGTACATGTGAATGACATTAAATGAGACAATATTTAAGTATCTTTTATCCCTGTAGAAAAACCTAGAAAAATTTCAATTCTGTACATATGTTTTAACAGATAGTTTCCCTGATGAAAATAACAAATCAATTGTGCACATATTTAATAAGAGTTTATGATTGTAGGTGTCCATAATTCCAGACGGTGATAGCAGAAGGTGTAGTAGTAAGACATCCATTGTGACCGACTCCAACAACCCTCTCTACGACCAGCAGTTCTCATTGTAAGTAAAATTTCTCATTTTAGTTAGATTAGAATCAAGATTTATAAATATTTATTAAAGAAATGCAAATTTATATCTGAGGGGTTGAAGTTTTGGGAAAAATGAAAACATGTAAATCTTTGCAATCTAATAGAAAGTGTTACTCATCATGATAGAAACAGCAAACTAAACTTTTCAATAGTCCAAATTTTGCTGATTTTGCAATTTTATACATTTAATACCAGCTATTTTTTAAAAGACAATGTATTTCTATCATCCAATGAGACATAACACTGAATTGGTAAAAGTTAAGGTCTTTTCACTGATAAAGATGTAAAAAGGGAAGAGGGCCCAGATTTGACAAACATTTGGGATGGGAAATAAAGGGCTCAAATGTTTAAATATCTCCCACACATTATCCCACTTTAATTATAAACTAAATGAAAATAAAATTAATATCTAATAATAATGACCAATAAATCCTATCAATTATCAGATTATCTGATAGGAGATTTGTTTATTATCTTAAGATAAAGATACCTATCCCAGGGGACTATAATATTTATAGTTATTTCATATAAACATAATCTTGTTTGTTTATTTTAATAATAACTAATTTCATGGGAAAATTTAAAGCTTATGAATTTTGAAAATTAAGGAAATGAATAAAATTAAAGAAGATTAGAAATTGCAATTGTTATCTTTCATCATAAACTATTAGGAATAAAATTTAAAAAGTTGACAAAGAAATTATGTGATTAAGAGCTGTGACATTTAAAGGAGATATTTGAAAATTGTTTTTCTTAAGCATCTATTGAAAGAGGATCATGAAAATTATTAAACGAAAGCTGTTGCCTTCATTTGCATAATCAGATGAGAGAAAATTCATAAAAATTATCAATTATTCATTGAATATGAAATCTCTAATTGGTTATAGTAGCATATTGCAAATTTCATATTTTGGTTCTTTAATCTGTCTCAATAGTGTGAGCAGGTGATTTTGCCAAATTATGACAAAAATTTTGAAGAACATTTTAAATTATAATTATAACAGTTACAAAGTGTCAAAATTGATCTAGTTTATATATTAAAAAATTAGCATTTACAGATTAAAATTTTATCCTGTGCTATAAGTATCAGTTGAGAAATAAGATATTTTGTTATAATGAGTACAATCTGGTTGTATTGGCTGCTAAGTGGGTATCCCTGGTGTTAATTGTACAGAAATTTGACATTTAATTAGACAGGTGAAAGGCTGATAGACAAGAAACATACACCTGAAATTTATGTTCTCACCTGTCTCAACACAAATGGACAACTAACCATAGTGTTCTGACAAAATTTATCCTTCTTTATAGGTATAAAATTGTAAGGATTTTATAATGTATACTCAGAATAGTTTTATTTTTGAAAGTCAAACTGAGAGATAGGTCAAATGGATTCAAAGTGAATTTTAGGTGTTTTATGGTTGAAAAAAAATTAAATAAAAAATAATACTGTCTATTTGCATTCATTTATAGTTTTGTGGTGCCCTTTGTTTATGTAAAAATGTAAAATGAGAATCTAAAATAAAATACTATTTAATAGCTGGATCAATGATTTAAACTTTTAATTTAATTTTTTTTTATTATTCTTGAGTTTGGTAATTTCATATATGCACCAGGGGTCACAACCCTTCACCTGGTACAAGTCTCAAGTTTATAGTTGAAAGCATAATGTAATGTTTGGTTGTCACTTAATTATTATTGATCTAATTATGAACAAATCTCCTAAACAACTCCATTGCTTACAGATATATTTGAATGGAATTGATATAGAAATAGATTGTGTATTATCAAATTTTCTGATAAGAAATTGACACATATCTGAGCTGTACATATCTGAAATGATATAAGACATGCAGTTATCATACAAAGTTATCTAATTATAATCATTAATCCTTAATTATTGATCACAAGCAAGTATTTACACAAGAATGACATGTGCTCAGTAAATGCACTTAGAGGAATATGTCAATTTCATAACAACTAGGTTTGGCATATCTCATGTTGTAACTTCTAAAGTTTGATTCAGTTAGTTTGCTTCTCAGAGATTGTAGGACTTTATCTGTGATAATGTGATATTCTAATATCAATTGAAGCAAAAAGAAATAGTAGGAATATGTCAGCAACTAGTAGATTCAGTGTAATTCCATTTCCTTATCTTTTATATTTTCGACTGCGTAACTACTCTATTTCATTTCACAACAAGAACTTTTAAAGAAAAAGGTAAAAGAAAAATTTGAAAAAGTGCAATTCCAAAATGATGCTCAACTATCTAATCAGATCATAGAATGTAATATGACTTCTTGTTGATAATTTTTCTTTCTATTTTTTAGTGTGATTGCTGAAGAAGATTTGAAGAAGAGGTTGCATATCTCTGTGTTTGACAGTGGTAAAGCATCTAGGTATGTATTAAATTATAGTGTATAAGTGCAGATATTTTTAGAAATATGATACAGTGAGAAAAATATATAAATGTTTGCTTTTTGAGAAATAATAAGTCACTTTATCTACTTCATAGATTTTAAGACTTGATAATGTCAAGTCAATGAAAAGAAGACCTGTTAATTAAATTGTTAGAATGTGAAGTAAGAAATCCTTTAAAGTAAACTCCAATGTCATTGGTCCAGAAATCAAATTAGGGAAAATTTCTTAAATATGGTAAATTTTTATTGTTATTTTTAATGAGGCAAAGACATTGATATAAAAGAAATTTAAATGTGTACTGTGACATAAGAAAAATTGAATAAAAAAAAGCTTCAGGAAACATAATGATGATGTTAAGATTTGATTAAAGTTCAAGAAATTTTAATCTTCTTTACATTTTAATCCGATTCAGAAGAAAATCCCTGAAAGCATATATTTTACTCTGTAATAATAATGTGCTTGAACAAAAAGAGAGTGAACTATATGACTAAAGGTCAGGTAAACAAAAACACAGAGAAAGTCTAGGATGGCTGACTGTCCATAAAAATCTTTTCTTCCCCTGCCAGATGACTAAATACGAGTCTGTTAATTGCTGTGCTTAATGGATTGATAAATTTAAAAGTTTGACATAAAGAGCGTGTATAGGAATTTTTACATTCGAAAATTTAACAATCTAACGACTGAACAAACAAAGGACCAAAAAATATGATTACAAATATTGGTGTTGAGTACTGAGTGTAAAGGTATGCTTGTATTGATCACCTGGCCCCGCTGTAATTTATTTATGTTAGCCAGCTGCCTCTCTTGTTTTGTCACTGAATGGCTGAAAATGAAATGATTACATATAGGTCACAAATTTTCAAATTATGTTGTAAAAATGCTGTAAAATTTTCATGAAAAGGTTGGTCATTTACATTTTTATATTTGAAATTCTTTGTTCAGTTTAACTGTAAATATTATTACAATGTGACACATTTGAAAAAAAGTTATTACTTTGTATAGAACTGTTTTTATTCAAAATTTAAAAACTTTAAACAATGATTTGTATCCTCAAAGTTTCAAATTTTAGAAAAATTAACATATTGAAGAGAAAAGATTTTAATCTAAAAAAAAGATATTTTCAAATGATTTGTATGCTAAAAGTTTCAAATTGTATAAGTGATGTGTACTACACCTTAACATCAGTTAATTTTCACCTTTGAAGATCAAGGTGTGAAAACCTTTGAAGTTGTAATTGGATAATTAAGAGTTTAATACAAGAGCTTGGGGTACACAATGTAATTCTTAAATTAGGTTAAAAAGTTTGTTTAGTTTATGTATCATCTTGCTCTAAATTTTGTAAATCAGTAGCCACCCTCCCAAGCTGAGTTCAAGCTTTGCTACTGATTTGAGAAAATAAATTATGAGTGAGAAATTTGTAAAAACATGGTAATTTTGTTATAAACTTTGTAAGTTTCAAACATGGTCATTTGTTATAAACTTGGTGTAAGTTTCAAGTTAGGATTAAATTTCATATTATCGGATCAAGATTCTTAACAAGGTAGAGAATTAAAAGTTTTATATTTCATCTGATAAGATTTACTGTTATTTTGCACGATTCTGTTTTAAAAGTTTGTTATTTTAACTTACTGTCATATTAAAACTGATACTATTTTGTCATATTTAAATGTACTCAAACAGAACTAGGAATTAGTTCATTGGACATTTTAATTACACTTTTCCATATACAGTAAAATAGTCCCAGTAGACCATGATTTTATCATTGTTTGGTAATTCTTTCAATCTTTTTTTTGGACAAAGAACTTGTTTTGAATACAAAATATTGAATTAAGATATATGATTCTGCTTTGAAATAATAAAAAAAAAATCATAGCCATTTAAGGTGACAAGAGTGTTGCATTTTTCTTATTCTATTGCTTATCCCTAGTGTAAATAAGAAAGTTACACAACAAAGAAGTTTATAAGTAGAAGTTGTCCAGATGACAAATTGAACTGGACTATGTATTACCACTTGATTTATTTGACCTGGACAGGGTAATCATTTCATTTCAACAAATCAATCTATTTGTCTATGGATAACCCTTAAAGATCTGTAATGGTTCAAATTTGGTTGAAAATAAACCTATCAATCAACTCAAGGGTTACACTTCATACAGAAAGTAAAAGTTAGGACCATGACAAATGTGATGAAATAAAAGAAAAAGAACTATTATTACCACATCATTAAAATTTGATTTTATTCACATTTAGCACCTGTGATTATGAAATTTAAAGGTTTATTTCAAAAGAGAAATTTGTAGTCGTTAATGAGAATGTAATGTTAATTATTGTCCTTTGTAGTTTATGTGAGTTCCTTGGCGGTATGTCTTTTGGTATTCAACATCTGCTAAATCCACAGAAGGTAAGCCTCTAGTTTTATATGTTTTTTCATTAAAATTAATTTGTAATAAATATTTGAAAGGGAAATTGAATCAGATGTAGAATTTTGTAGAAATGAGACACCAAATATAAAGTATTTATGGAAGAAAGTATTATTTAAAGTATAAAATGTTTACTTTTGCTATATTAACCTTATCACACTTGTTGACCATTGAAATATTTGACTAGAGAGGACTACAAAGCCCCCTCCCCCCCCCCCCCTTTTTTTTTAAAGAAACCTATACACATACTGAGAATAGAATTGCATTGTTAAGACTTTGTAACTTGTTTCAGGTATTAAATTTGTTCTAGAAAGAAAACCAATATTAAAAAGTTGCAATATTAAACAACCTCAACCAAATATTACCTGATTAAACATATATACATGTACTTATATATTATTATCTTGTTATTTTGAATGAGATGTGGAAGGATTAACTTGTAACAAACTTATAATGTATTATTTGTATTATAGGATGTTATGGGTTGGTATCATCTGCTAACAGAAGAGATTAGTCATCACAAGCACCTTAAAGTTTCTACAGTAGCCAGAATGACCCCATACAAGAAAGGTTAGTTCACCAAATTATATTACAACTAAGTAATACAACTATACTATTGAAATAAGGTGTCATAAACTTCAATAATATTAAGGCTTGTTAGGTATAAATCTTCAACTTATATATTAGCTTTTGTTTAGATTTAAGATATAGATACAGAAATAATATTTGAAAATGGGAAGTAACTCTAAGTAGATAAATGTCCTAATGTAGATAATAAAAGCTTTTGTCATGTAATAATTATATAAGAAAATGGTATGTTTTTGTAAATATTTCAATTGTTTAATAATGAAATAACACAGAAGACCTTTTTGTTTTTGTGCAAGTTTGATATGAGTTATATTACAAAGATAAAAATAAAAATATAAACAATATCAATATATATATATACTGATTAATTTTTGGGAAAGTCTTTCAAAGATCTTCATTTGAACAATCATCAATTGACTGTTTTTACATGACTGTATTTATATACATGTTACAGATGAAGGTGGTGGGCAGAATCAGGGTTCATAGTTCATAACATATTAGTTACTGGTTAAGGTTGTAACATTTAATGACAAATATTTCATGCATATTCAGCATGAATAAATACATGTAAAACAAAAATCAACATTGTGAGAGTGAAATTAATGAAGAATTATGCTTTAAAAGTTAAATGATTATTATATAGAAATTTGACAAACTGTTTATCAACTTGTAGGTAGTCTAACAGACAAGAAAACAGCAGACAATGACATCATTACAGTAAGTTACTTCCCTTTGTAAAACAACAACTCAATATATATATTTTCCATTTTATATTTTTTGGTTTGAATATAAACTAATGCACAGTGTATACATAATTGATTTCTTTGAATATGATAATAGTTCAAATTTTGAAAAATTGAGGATTTCAATATTATAAAGATAAAAAATGTCTTGAGCAATAAGATTTCTGTTAATATAATAATGTAATATAATCATGCTTCTGGTCATTTTATATAATTGCTAATAGATATGGGTAAGCAACAGTGAGCCACCCATCAACATATGATAACATAAAAACTAACTAAAATGTATATAGTTCAGCATACAATAAGGAGGTGTCCATACAAAAAGTTCACTCAGGTTGTGAATCCATTCGAAATAAACTACAAAGATCTGCTATCAACACAAAAGTCTTCAGTTTCAATGACACAGAAAACAGATGAAGACAGATGTATATAAATGAAATCTATATTACGCTGTGCCAGTGATAAAAGTTTTACTGTATTTTGTTTTTTTTTAAAGTAATATAATGTATTTATGTTTATTTCAGGTTACCATCTCTCGTAGTACCAGTGGTTATGGTTTTACAGTTGTTGACTCCTGTCCTGTTAAGATTGGTAAAGTAGACCATGGTTCACCAGCTTCTTTAGCAGGTCTATGCCCAGGGGACCACGTCATCTCTGTCAATGGTCACAACGTGTCAAGGTCACAGTCATCTAGAGTAGCAAAGATTGTCAAGTAAGCACGTAATAAATAAAAAAAATGTGGTATGTTAGCCAATGAGACAACAACCCACCAAACAACCAGAGAATAATAATTTGAACATTTACATGTCGCAATGAGCAAAGATATGATATTCCTATGTTGAGTCAGCATTGTACCCTGAAATGTTAAATGAAAATATAATAATCTGTTATAACGAAATACATATACAATTCAAATGTATGAAGTTTATATTTTTTCCTTTTTGAAATTATCTATTTTTCATATTTATACTATTTCATGTTGTGAAACCAGGAATGGTGAAAAGTTTTCCATTGGACAATTTTTAAAGAATAAAGTTTTTACTTGACATTATCTAATGATGATTTTTGTTTTGTAGGAATGGTGGTCAGTCACTTGTCATCGAGATTCAACGTGCTAGTCAGTTGTCCCTCCTTAACCAGTCGCTATGGCAACCAGAACCCACCCTGCTGTTAGACCCAACAGACATGAGACGCTGCAGCCACGATAAGGGTTACACCTCCGAGTCAGACCTGTCCGACACAGATGAGGGTATCTACTCCTGGCCAAGCAACAACACCAGTACACCTGTAAAGAAAGACAAGAAATCAGAGGTATGTCATTTATGTGGATAGAATAGAGTTGAAATTTATAGGTAATCATAAAATCAAAAGATATTTGATGGAAAAGCATTTCAATTTATTGATATACAAGGGAAATATAAAAGAAAAAATCAATTATTACAAAAAACCTAGTAAATGTCACTGTTTGTCTATAAAACATAAGTATAGAATCACATTTGGTAGAATTCTGCATTAGAAGTGTATAAACAGCTGCACATGTATAGTCTAAAAATAAAAGTAAAAATCTTAGTATATATATACCAATACTCACCCTTGTAAATACATTTTTATTAGGATTGATGTTTTCCAAAAAAGAATTTTGAAAGTAGAATCTTTAAAGTATTACCAAAAATATGAATTACTGTGTAAATGCATCAGATGTGTAATGAATTTTGAGTAATAAATTTCTGTTTGAATTTCAGTCAACAGCAGCTTCAGAGAAGACAATCTCCACACTGATTCACCAACTCCTGACTGCAGAGTCCAACTTCATTGATGTAATGCATGCAGGTATGCAGCTGTACTCACGACCACTACGACACAGCATATTGACTCCACAACAACACTCCTCCCTCTTCCAGAATATTGAAAAGGTATGATCACTATTAATATGGATTCAAATTGTATTGATATAAAAATGTGGTTTGATTGCCAATGAGACGACTCTTCACAAGACATTAAATGAGGTAGTAGTAAGCAACTATATGTCACTGTTCTGTTTTCAACAATGAGCAAAATCCATACCACAAAACAAGCCATAAAAGGCCCTGAAATGACAAATGTAATACTATTCAAACAAAAACCAAGGCCTGATTTATATAAAAACAATTAACAAAAACAAATGTGTATTAAGTCTGTTTAGCTCTTTTTTGATTTGTTGATAATATATTGTGTATTAATTTTACTTTGAAACTAGTTGGTTGACATAAACTTTATTTTATGGGATTAATTTTTCTCTTGAAAGTCATTTCTTTATAATGCAAGCATATATACTAGTATATATAATGAGATTTCAAAATCTGAAGGTTGAATTCTAGTAACTTTCAAATTTAAACAATAAGGAAACATTATTTTTTTTCATCATATTAAAATACTTTAAAATTTCGCTAAAAAAAAGTACTAAAATGAAATATGTATTGATGTTAGTTTCTAAAGTTTGAAATATTTAATAATGAATGTTTTTTTATTTCAGTTGGTTATGATCTCCCAGTTTCAAGTAAAACAGATCCAGAACAACATCCCAGCCTCCGAGTCATCGTCAGACTCAGACTCCAGTACCACATCTTCATCTGCTACAGAGACAGCTCAACACATTGGCAAGATCTATCAGTCGAAGGTAAATATTAATACGAGATTTTGAACTATCAAATAAAGAGGGTGGTAAAGGGTTATTTTAGTGCAACGTGATTTGCCATTTTTATTTCACGTCCAGCCGTGAAAAAGGTTTGTTATTCACCGTGTTTCGTGAAATCGGTAAAAAGATCAACATGCAAGAAATTCTTAATTGTTCGTTCATCATGAAATGGCAATTTTATTTCGCGTTCTTCTGTGCAGATACCTCCCCTTTACGCCCCTCAATAAAGAACTGGAACCATGCTTGAAAAAAGGGTGCAAACATTTTATGTTGGATTTGATAAGACACCATCACATTGAAATACTGAACACTCAAAGATTTTTAAGGATCAAATGCAGTACATGCAGCTTTGTGTAAAACTTAAGAAGGAAGAATTTGTAATTAAATAACTTAAGTTATGATGTATATTTGTACACCCATTTCTAATCAAAATATTTCTTTAAGCGTATATAAAGGTTAGCTTACAATACTCTAGATTCAACTGATTCCTGTATGTGTAATGGCTTGAATAATCTGTTAAAAGGTTGCCTTAATGTTCTAACATGATTTTTGTTATTATTTCAGATTGCTATGTTCTGCCAAGCTTATGATTTTTATGCCAAGGGTATCACCTCAGCCAACAAAGTTTTGTCAGATCTCAGCACTTCAGAAGACTTTATCAAGTTTGTTAGGGTAAGTGCTCATTAATTTGTAGGAATAAGGAATTAGCAAATATATAGGCGACATATACAGGAAAATATCAAAAGGGTATTTGAGTGATATTTTTTTTAAAACATGAAGTGGTCACATTATGGACCTCAACAATGCAAGCATGTACAGACTGGCCTTGGAAAGTACTGACAAAATTTTGAAATATTTATTTTGAACTTATAATTTATATGCTTGGAAAATGTGGAGACAGTTGTTAACTTGCTAGAACTTATGACATATTAATAGAAGTTGTGTTGGACAATTGGACAGTAACCCAACAAAACAACTGATATTAAATTTTGAACTACAAACTAAAAAAAGCAGAGAACTGTTAATATATTTATTTATTGAGACAAACTATGAGTTTTGTATTTTGTAAATCAATATTAATGTAGTAATGTTTTGTTTTACAGAATTCCACCTTAGAGGCTGGTGAACCATCCATCAGTAGTTATATTTACCTCCCAGTACAGCACATCGTCCGAGTGTACAACATTCTACAACAGATATTAGTCTTCATTGATGATGCCGGTCTCTCAGCTACCATGCACAGTAAGTATTTGATGGGTTTCTGTCAAGTGTCTATACATCATTTTAATGTTGCTTTCCACCATCAATGATGCTTATTTGTTGTATATATGAATAAAGTATATTTAGCAGTGAGCAACCTGACAAGTTCTTCAACAATAGAGTGGTATTGTTTTACCATGTATCAATCTTCAAATCAGCACAAATTAAATAAATCCTGAATCATCTCTCGTAATCATGTAACACCCAAAAAATAATGTGTGTCTCACTTTAAAATAATATGATATGAAGTTGAATGGTAAATGTACTGTTACTAGTGGATTGTATAAAGAAAATTATAAACATTTCGTATGGACTTACAGATCACTGTTTAACTGCTTTGATGACAACCCGTCAAACTGTGTCCTCAATATCTAATACATGACAAAAACATGTTAATTTGAATCATCACATGATAAGTATAAAATACAATTCATTAAATATTGACTTCTTTATTACAGCTTTTAGAACCTGTATTGACAACATGACCAGCTATCCTAGTGTTTCACAGATCCTCTGTCTAGCCTCACTTTCACCTATCTCATCAACACCAGCAGCAGATAGCCACACATCAAGGTCATCCACTAGCACAGGAAGTAGGGGGTACTGTGATGGTCAGCTATCTCTGCCAACGTTTCAGGAGTATTGACTTGTTTTTAGCCTTTTATTACTGTGATACTGACTATTTTGTTGGAGTGTTACAACAGAGATTCAGCACCAAGCTCTGAGATTCTTCTAATGGTGTAGACCGTCCTTAGATAATGATACTGCTGGTATGTTTTATTTTATGGCTTATAGTTTGCTAAAAACTAAAAAGAATTGTGGTAGATGTTCATGAGACAATTAAAACATAGAAAACAACAGAATTCTAATATATATACACTTTACAAGATTGTAAATTAAGTATGTTGTCAAGGATTACAAATTGTGAAATGAGAAAATAGCCAACTGTTAATGGTGTCATAAATATCTAGCAAACCCAAAAAATAAATGCATCACAGAATGTCAGTTTATATTTATCTGGAATATTACCAAAGAACAAATTTATGGTGACAAATCAGTCACTTCTTTAACCGTTACTATTAGTTTTGATTCAATCTTGTACCACTTGTGGAAGATAACAAGTCTATTTGGGATTGAGGTGCTCAAAAGATATAAAAAAAAAATACAGCTGTTGTTGATATTGATATTTGTATAGCTTCAAATTTCTATTTTATTGGTATAAGACCTATTGATAATTGGAATGACTTATTTGAATATTTCTAAATCAATCTCAAACTTATGTTCTTTCTTATTTCTTTTCCAGGACAAAGCAGGGAATAACAGGTTCTCAGAATTCACCAAAATCCATTGGACAATGAAGATTGATGTATATGAACTTTTAATTTGTTTATAATGTGTATTAATAGGACCTATATAATAGTTCTGTATCTCACAATAGTGCCAATAAGTGCTAATTTATTTGTATATACTGTTTTATTTTTATTGTTATCAATTTGATGTTTATTAAATTGAAAATATGAAATGATATACTTGTGTTTAGTTATTCTATCAAATGAACCTATTGAGGAGTTGTCAGATTCAAGATTATCTAAATATCAAATATAAAAATAAGAAGATGTGGTACCATTGCCAATGAGACAACTCTCCAAAAGATACCTATTAACACAGAAATTAACAACCATTGATCACCATTTGGCCGTCATCAGTAAACAAAGCCTATACCGCATAAAAGCCCCAAAAATGACAAAAAACAAATATGTTACACAGCAACAAACAACTACTACTGAACTACAGACCATCCAAACCATATATTTTTTAATTCATAATGAAATGCTATTAAATGAGGGTAAATCTACATGAAGAAAAAAAATGCAAAGCAAAGAAACAAAGCTGCAATATTCTGACTCTGATGACGATCCAAAAAAAGAGAAATACTTAGATGATCTTCATGTACACTAACTTAATAGCATTTGGTTATGAATGAGCAGCACCATAATAAGGATATGGTTTCCCGTTTTAAATAATATTTCTACGGGGCAGTGTAACTTTCTTACCAAATCTTTCTATCTATGAAAAAATTTAGTAAAAGTTTGAATTATTTGTAGTAACAAAATCCCTGATTTAATAATCCGAAGTTAGATCCCCCATAAGCAAGTGATTTTCTCCTTTTTGTCTCATCTGAAGTAACAATAATGAAGTATGTAAATAAGTTATCACTTTTTCCTTGAAAGCAACATTTTATAGTGTAATGTGGTCAAACTAGGAGAATATCTTTTGAAAGGTCAGCGATAAATTGTATGTTGGTCAATCTGGTTTCATACATCATCTCATCTTCAGTTTACTCCTGTGGTCAGTGATGTTGAAATGTTATTTATATAAATCTGTCATTGTCTTAATCGTATTTGAATATCTTCTCCAATGAAAATTACTTGCTTGATGTGTGCTGCACTAAGCTGCAATCATCATAAAGGGACATATTTGTGTCAATGCGACAGCAACCCAATAATAAAAAATGCCACTTTAGCCATACTGAGGTCAACATAAGATCTACAACAATAAACAGGTACATGCCTTTACAATATGGCTTGGTCCAAATCTGTTATGATTAAATAACCAGAGACTTACAAAGATCTGCCTCAATACCCAATGTTTTTAAGCATAACAATTCCAGGAAAGGCACCCTTTTGTATTAGGGATTAAACTAGGTTTCATCTCAATCACCTGTTCATTTGGGCCATGTGAATTAATTCCATCACTTTGTGATCTTCATGATCATCTGTCTTAGTCATAAATGTATTTGAATATCTTCTCCAATGATTTCCTGGGATGATATGTGCTGCACTTCGCTACAATCATCAAAAAGGGGTATATTTTGACATTTATGTTGGACAATATGATTTTGAAAAAAAAGATGTGGCGTATACTGCAATGAGACAGCAATCTAAATATAAAAAGAACCTATGAAATCTGGAGAGTTAAATATAGACTTTTACAATACACAGGTGCCCATACTATATGTCAAGCTCTGAATTATATAAGTCTATAAACATTTTAAATGACCAGTATTGACAAGGCTGCTAATTTGGGACATGAACATCAATATTGGCTGGACCAAAGGGCCAAGTGTGCTATTCGTATCACTCGGCGTCTGTCATAGTCTTCTGGGCCAAATAATATAACCAGACTACTAGGCCACAATCCTCATTAGGGTATCTAGTTTTTTAAAAATGTGTCCTATGATCCTGCCTGCCAACCAATAACAATGGGGTAAAATGCAAGTTATGAGAAAATCCGTCGGGGAGAAAAAAAGATCTACATGTACTTACTTTCTATTTAAATCAAAACCATTAGACAACTATTTATAGGAGTTATTACACTTAAATGACGAATTTTACCTTTTCTTTTTTTTAGTTTATGTCTTTAATGTTGAAAACTAAAATAGAAAGAAAGAATCTTTTACAACAAAAATGACAAGATAAGATCTACAATTTACTCAAACATGACCAAAACGTCAGACTGCTCCATATAGGTGTTATTGCCCTTAAAGGGTGATTGCCAATTGTTTCGGCTTTTGCCTATTATCTTGAAAGCTACAACGATAGAGGGAAACTGTCATTATAAATATTCACCAAGACAACATCTACAAATAGGTCAACATAGCCGAAATCGTCAATTAACTCCTTTTAGGAAATATTGTCCATATCCAAGGATTTGTATAGTCTCACTATACAAATCCTTGCCTTATCTGACTATTTTTTACGCTATCTATACTACTAAAATAGCGAGGTCAAATTTGTTAGCCGGCATGACGTAAAAACGACGAATTAAAGAATTCAAATTTATATATAACTAATATAAGACAATGGTGTTGTTTAAAAATTACATCATTCCGTTCTATGTTACACTATAGTACACTATTCAACAAGACTGTTTTTTCCACCTCAATACCACTATCAATTTTGGTTACTATGGTGTGTAGTCAAAAATTAAAAAAAAATCAGTTTATAGTAAGTATATTGTAGCAGAGACCCTTTTGGGCCAGGTGAGCTAAACTGATCAGCAATATGAGATCAACAGAAAGATATTTTAATCATAAATTATAATATAATCTACAATATTGTGAATATGTACTTGTATCTAGGTGAGCCATACAACCTTTTCCTTTTAATATTAGTATAGATCAACGAAACATTCATAAAAGAACAAACAATAAAAACCTGTAAACAAAAAGCAACCGTAGAATATCTGTAAACAATGCAAAATAAAAAACAATTGATACTACATTGAAGAATGCTCGCAGATACTGACAACTATCGCAAAGAACAAAGCTATGCCCGTGTCCGTAGTCGCGTTTTATGTTTCAATGAACGCAGTTTATGTATAACTGGTGAATTATTAAGTCTGGGATTTCGTTACTACAAATAATTCAAACTTTCACTTAATTCTTTCATAGATACAAAGATTTGGTAAAAAGGTTACGCTGTCTCGTAGATTCTTATCAAAAACGGGATACCACAATCTAATTGAAATATAGTTCTCTGTTTCGTTATACTATATATATACGAGTACGCGGGATGATATGGGCCAGAATATTAATCAGATTTGGGTTACCATATCCTAATTATGGGGATGTGGTTTAGAGAGCTTGTAATTTGGATACGATCCATGTAAACTCGTAGATCCGTTAAATAAACTTATTCTTAAAATTTACCATTTTTAAACCATACTTAAATCTTAAAATATTGTCTCTATCGATAGTAGCATTGATTTTGTTTTTGAAAAATTAAAACAACTTAATAATTTTATTTATTGTCCTAAATTTACAGTTCTGAGTAATCGTGGTCCTACAACCTATATCGATACTGTTAACTTATGTTTTGGCATTGCATAAGGTCATGCATTTCTCATTCTGTTTATGACGTCTTTTACACTTAATCCGTTGGATATGTACTTACTGAGGAATATATACTATATTAATTCGTTCCAACTGGCTCTGAACAAACATATAGTATAATTGCGAGAACTCTTATATCGGTGGTTTTTTGTTTTAATGTTAGATATTTTTGTGTGCTTTGTATCGATATATTGAGGTAAGGCATTTGCAACTGATTTTTACAGTTTGTTCTTATGTTGTGCTGTTACGCCACTGTGCTCTGTCAGGGGATGGTTTGGCGCTCACAACCAGTTTTAACCCACCCCAATACATGCATTCTTTATATATATGTGTGTGTGTTTCCCAAGTCAGAATCCTGTAATTCAGTGGTTGTCCTTGATTCATGTCTGACATAATCTGTTTTTCGTAAAATGCATTGTTTTGAATTAAGTTGTTAGTCTTCTCGTTTGAATTGTTTCACATATTTTCATGTCGCGGTCTTTTATGGCTGATTGTACAATATAAGCATTTTTCATTGTTAAAGGCTGTATTGCTCATTTGAGCTCTGGTGGAGACTTGCCTCATTGGATGCAATCATACCGTATCTCCTTATTTTTATATTATAAAAATGAGACGATATGGCATGATTGCCAATGAGACAAGTATGTTTGCGGTATACCATCTTTTCCGCAAGTTTATTGTTTTCTGTTTGGTATTAAATTAATAGTTAAGATCCATTTTGTTACATCTGGTGATCCGTTAATTTGGCAATCGCCGATGGCAGTCAGCAGGGTTTAAGAACATCCGTTGTTCGACCTGCTAGTCAAATGCATTTTGTTAAAACATACTTTTTAACTTTTTTGGTCTTTTGGGAAATGTTGTTTGTGCTGTATTTAGACCCCTCTACCAAGAAATTTGTTTTGCATGCACACGTATGAAAATTGCGGTTTTTTATCCAACGCAATCATAGATTTGAACGTTGTTTTCAATTTAGACTTATTTATATTTTTTCGTTTGGCCTTGTATTATATTTGCCTTCGGGTTTATATATGATCCGTTCATCCTATTTCGACTCTTCAAAATTCAAGAGTCTATCCTAAATTGAGGTATTTTATATAGCCTTCCAAATACCGTTTCGATTCCTACCATCACTGAAGAGACACTAATTGTCGAAATCCGGATATGGTGTACTAATTTTTGCACCTTTTGTTTGCAGTATACCATCTTTTCCGCAAGTTTATTGTTTTCTGTTTGGTATTAAATTATACCGTAGTTAAGATCCATTTTGTTACAGCTGATGATCCGTTTATTTGGCAATCGCCAATGGCAGTCAGCAGGGTTTAAGAACATCCGTTGTTCGACCTGCTAGTCAAATGCGTTTTGTTAAAATATACTTTTTCACTTTTTGGTCTTTTGGAAAATGTTGTTTGTGCTGTATTTATATTTAGACTCCTCTACCAAGAAATTTGTTTGGCATGTTTATCCAACGCAATCATAGGTTTGAAAGTTGTTTTCAATTTAGACTTATGTATATATGGAGACTGCTGTCTTTTGAAAATACCTTAAAATTTAGTATACATTTGTTGAACCTTTCTTATCCCAATATTTTTGGCTGCTTTGTCAGCAAATACAAAAACACAAAAAGCTTTTTGAG